TATTAATATAATCTTTATAGTTTAATTATTAATTTGAAAATCTAGATAAGATTTAGTAATATGTAATTTTTCAGGTTTGACACAGGCTTATAATTATAACATTAGGTTTAACAAAATTATTTTGTTTGGTTTTTTTTCTAATACTTCTTTTATTTCTTTTTCTTCTTATTATATATTTTGTTTTATTGTATCTTTTATATCTCTGTGTTTTCTTTTAATTCTGAATTATATTTTATTTAATTTTGTTTTTTAATAAATACATAGCTGCTAGTTGATAAACAGAGAAAAAAGTTTTTAGTAAGTTAAAAACCTAAAAAAAAGCTATTTGTTATTAAAACATATCATGTCTAGCTTAAATATAAATAAGTCTTTATTTAATTAGATTAATTATAATTACAAATAGAAATTTGTATAAATTTTTTAAATAATTTAATAGACAAATTGTGAGTCACCTAAACAAATATATTTTTTTTATATGTAAATTTTATTATAAGCCCAAATATGCAACGCTTCTATCAAAAACTTTTTTTTTACTAAGTAAATCACTCTTGAGTTTATAACAAAAGTTGTAAAGCTCATCAAGATGCATCTAATAGTAAAATAACATTAAAATCAGTTTGGTGATTCTTGAGAAATCTTTAAAAACTTCTTTTTTACATATAAAATTTCTTTAAAAAAAATTGATTTTTTTTAAAGAAATTTTATATGTAAGAAAGAAGTTTTTTAAAGATTTTTTAAGAACTACCAAACTGATTTTAATGTTATTTCACTATTAGATGCATCTTGATGAGCTCTACAACTTTTGTTACAAACTCAAGAGTGATTTACTTAGTAAAAAAAAAGTTTTAGATAAAAGCACTGCACATTTGGGCTTATAGTAAAATTTACATATAAAAAAAAAATATTTGTTTAGGTGACTCGCGATTTGTCTATTAATCCTAAATAAACAAGAACAGAATAGCTAAATTACAGTAAAAAAAAATTTAAATAAGCTATAATCACACTAATAAATTTAGATCACAAATAATTCTTTTAATTATTAATTTAGTTAAATTGTAAACTCTATCTAAATTTCTAATCTTAATATTCTTCAAATATAAAATTCAAATATAATTTTTTATTTGTAAAGAAACTTAAATGAATTTTACTAAAAATAAAGACATAATCTTATTTTTGAATATTAAAAAAAAATAAATTTTAATTATAATTAAATCTTTATAAATTTAAAATATTTTTGGTTAATATTTCTAATATAAATTAACTAAATTTACTAAAGATCACCACAGGTAATGTTGTTAAACAGTCTAAACCAAATGTTTCAAATGTGTTTGCCAAAATTTTAACATTCTGAACAATTAAAATTATATATAAGCTGGCCTTTTTAGCCAATCAGGTTGTTTAATAAACCCTTGTATAAAATGTGATATTGAATATCATCACAGATATGAAACATTGTTCAAAACATGAGATATTATTTAAGACTGTCTGTATCCCTGCAATTTTAATGAAACAATATCCGCATACAACACTGACCACTAAAGAACTGAAATTTAGAGTTAGGATTAGATAGTTAGAATAAAGAAGATGAAATTATATATGAAATTTGCATGCACAAAGATTCATTACCATAGTAAAATATCTTGTTATCGAGGTTTTTTGACTTTTTCTTAATTTCGCTACACAATATTCTACGATTTGATTGGTCGAACATATATGAGCGGTGATGATTATCTGCGGTGATGTTTAGCAATTCTCGAATTAACTAATAGATTTTTAAGATAGATAAAAAATTATCAATAGTTATTACATAATAAAATCAAAATTTATTATATAAATTATACAGTTTTATATATTAAGTAAAGTTGTTCGGAAGGTCAAAATGCATATATTCTGAAAGTTTTACATAAATCGGATAACTTTTCATTAATGCGCTTTTGCATATTACGATTGTACTTAAACTTTTTAAAAATTTTCGTATAATCGTAATATGCAAAAACGTATTAATAAAAAGTTATCCAATTTATGTGAAACTTTCAAGATACATGTATTTTGACATCCCAAACAACTTTACTTAATACACAAATGTCAATATACATGGTAAAATTTTGACATTACTATGTAGTGACTGTTGGCGATCTCGGAATGAAACAGTGCAGTCTAAGTGTCGCGCATTGTACGTATCAAAAAAATTCGATTGCTTGCTAATACTAATTTGCTAATACAGTACGTACTAAATTTGCTAATACTAATTTACTGATTACTAATCAGTAAACAATTGTTTTGCAAAATTAGTTGTTTATAAAATAATTTCATCATGAGACACATGCGTGTGGATAGGCAAATACGTGTTTGATCTTAAATTTGTAAAAATTTATTAATCATAACTTTTGTGGTCTAAATGTAACTTTGTGTCACTTTGACGAGAAATAAGACCGCTGTGCTCCGGACGATTATATATATATTTATACTTTACGTACTTATATAGTACTTTCCTAAATATAGATAAAAATTGGGTTACGATCTATAAAAAAAAAACGATTAATGGTTTAAATTACAAACTGCTTGTTTTTTTTTATTGCCAATATTGTACTTCATTCTAATACAAGAGGATAAATGAACCAAATGAACAATGAATAACCACCGGAAAATTTTATAATTTGATACCTATTGATCGCCAATCTTAAGATTATAATCAGCATTGCAAGAACATGAAACTGTTTATTTACGAATTTCTCTAGGCTAAAAAGAGTAAAAGATATAGATAAAGAATCTTTGTTATTTCTGTAACTGGAAATTATTAAACTGTCGGAATTTATAATTTCTGGATCTAAGGAGAATCTGTCTTATGAGTTGGTTTTCTCATCTAATCAAGTCCACATCTAACATCTAAAATATAGGTATATATTTAGTAAATTATATAGTAATATACAGTATAGTATATACAAATAAATATAGAGTACGAAAATTGAGCAAAATGATGCGTAGTATGTACGACGTTAAAAAAATTAAAAATTTTCGTATTAGAACATACGAATTTTTTATTTTTATATTTTAGTACATTCGAAGCTTTGTTTCAATACATGAGCGATGCCAAAAAAAAAATAAGTTTTGCTTTAGACACTGGATTCAACCTTGAAAAATATGTATAATTGAGTTATTAAATTATAAATTTACGTATAAAAAATACATATCAATTAATAATATTGGTTTGATTTAATTCAAGCATATTTAATTTTTATTGAAATTAATTACTAAAACAACTAAAAATGACTTTTAAACTCCCAATTTGATATTCTGACAAAAAAAAAAAAAATCTTTCAATATCTAACAATAAATTATTTTTATTATCATTAGAAATCTTTTTTTTGCATATATTAGCATTATTGGATTTACGTCTTGTTAAATAAAAAAAAACTTCAAAATAAATGTTTATCTTTTCTGTTTGACGCAATTTGTTATCTTTTAATTTCGTTTTTATTCATGAGTTTGTTTATTTTAACAACTTTTCATCAGATAGTTTTAATGTGAAACTGGAATATAAAACATTCTATTTTTGAAATTCTTTATTGTCAATCGATTCCTCTACTACTGATTCAATTTCTGATTCCTGATAATAAAATTTATGATCATAAACTCATTTTAAAAAATTTTATATATTTACCTTGAATTTAGGGAAAATTAAAATACTTCGATGTCAAATATATTATTTATTTTTGCAGCAATAGAATAAAAAATTGTTATTATAAAGAAATATCATAAAGTCAATCATAAATCAATTATTTGAGGGTGTAACTAATAAGTTGTGATGAATGTATGACTACAGTCTAACCTCTCTACAATCACACCCCTTAGGATAAAGATTTGTGTGATTGTAAAGAGAATTTTACTAGGATATGCTTATAAAGAGGTTTTTTTTTTTATATGTTTATAATAGTTGGTTTTAAAATAAATGTGCTTATAAAGAGAATTTTTATATGATGTGCTTATATAGAGGGTGACTATAGGGAGGTTTGACTGTAATAGGAATTAGTCATATATTTTATACGATTATTTCTTATCCGTCACACAGATGATTGGTCACACCCCAAATATTCAAATCATCAGTTATGCATTAAATTTTGTAATCGTATATCTGAGTATAATTTTTCTTTCTCTTTTTTTAATGTCTGTACGTACTAACTTATACTACGTACCGTACTGTACTGACTTACTATATACCCCTAAAGTATGGCCAGTCATCAACAGTTTTCGTAAAATACAGAAATATATGTACATAAATGGATCTGAAGAATATGCCTTGCATTTAACTATATAATTTTAAATACTGTTTGTGGGATATTTTTGCTTAAGTAAAAAAAAAAAAAAAAAAAAGATAATAAGTATAAACTGATTCGAACGTAAATAATTATTATTTATTAATTATCTTTTTAAAATTAATGTTCTTATTGGTGAAAGAATGGTAAATGCATTCTTTCTCTTAATACTACATAAAATTATCATTAAATAATAAATATAAATACATTAATTACATAATCTAAGAATCTACGGTTTATAATCTGAAACACATTATAAATCTTAGGTCTGCGCATGTATTCTACTGTATTACTATATACTTATACACAATTATTTGGAATGTACCGTGGTTTTCGACGACCGAACGGTATTTTTTCCGCGAAATAAATAAATTAGTTCTTGTCATATTCATAAATAAAAATGTTTAACATGTTCTTTGATTTTGCCAATTATTTCGAAAAAAAAATAAAAATCGAATTGTGACGTCGAGAATAAAGTTCGTATATAAAGTTCGTATGTAAAGTTCGTATGTAAAGTTCGTATGTATATCAGATATGATGTTACTGATATACGGGTTTAGATAAGGATGCTATTGGCTCATTCGGCTCTATTCATTAATTTATAATATTTATAATATAATTTATAATATTTATAATATACAAGCCGGGTCAGGCCGATGACATCCTTAGGTTTAGGTGCATCTGTTCTCAGAATAAACACCAAGCTTTCTGAGAAAATTGATCACTAATCCTAAAGTCTCCTGAGGCTTTTCATCTTGTGGCAAATGACCACAACTTTCTATAACGTAATATTCTGTCACTGCATTTTCGGGTGCATCAGCTACCAATTCGTCAAATGCTTCTTTATGTTTATCTACATGCAAGTATTTGTCATCATCTCCAGTGATGTATAATATGGGAAATCGTTGTATCATGTGCTTATTAGGTAATATTTCTAAAGGGATGAAATATTTCATCAGCGATGAAACTCCCTCATAGAAATTGGGTAAGGTAAGTGGAACACGATTACATGGTTTGACCACAGTTTCAAATTCATTAATAGAATTAATATCATGGTAAAGTGTCGGAAACGGAAGATAACGATATAATATGGCCTTAAGAAATAATCGGCCTGACGCTGATCCTAAAATATGACGCGCTACAGGAGGTGGGCCTATGTACAATAAAGATCAACATGATCAGCGCTTAAGTCACATGCAAAATTATTACCAAATTCAGTAAAAACTAATTAATTACCTTGATCATCTGGCTTCAATGAAGGGCTAATCAGAATTAATGAATGAACCAAATCAGGATATCTGATTGCGACCGAACAAGATATGGCTGCACCGGCGGAACATCCGACAAATACTACCTTTTTCGTACCATACCCCAATTGTACCAGCAATTGGACTGCAAATTCCACTGCAGCAGGTTGGGTGTAAGGGTTTTTTCCTTCTTCCCACTGAACTGGTCTCTCAGTGAAACCAAACGCCACTCTATCATAGGCAATAACATGACAACCCGTAGCATCAGCTAATGGCTGCATGAGACATTTCCATGTATACTGATTTCCCAGAAAATGGTGAAGGCAAAGGATCACGGGTTTGTGAGGTTCGTATGGGAGTGGTTGTTGATTTTGAAGCAGGATTTGATGATGTTGAGGGATTGCTATCTTATAATATGCTTGGATATTATCGACTTCTACAAAATGACCCTCAGGGTCTGCTGCAGCAATAGATTGCAGAAGAATTCTTTGTATTGAAGGAAGAGACATTGTGTTCGGTATAATTTCCTAAAAACAATGCAATCTTTTTTTCCTTTTTTTTAAAAAAAAAAAAAAGAAAAAGAATGGAAAAACATGGAAATGATGATCTTTATATATTTTTTTTTCCCTTCTATAGTTTAATCCGATTTTTGACAGATAAATTTCTCGAATCAATAAAGAAAGTCACAAAGATTGTATAAAAAGTCATGAGTGCATCAATAAAGACGAATACTTTGCTGTATGACGTCTTGAACCAATATAATATGTATTTTTAGTTTTTTTATTACTTACATTCAAACCTTCCTAGATCGATGCACTGTTCTTTTCCCTATTTGGAACTTCGTCACAGACACAAAAGAATCAGCCGCGCTTTATGTCAGCAATTCTATATAGGGAAACTGATTATAAAGAAATCAATAATGGACGTACGACTTTAAATTTTTCAAGGGAAGCTGAATTACCGAATTTTCCTATTTTGCTTATAGTTATAACCTTATATTAAATTCAATTATGTAAGAAGAAAATCTTTAGATTCTAATCTTTATGAAATTTAATTTCCGTTGACAGATTTTCGTATCCACCATGAGGATAATCCCACGAGTTAAGATTTAAGCAACGGAAAAAAAATAAAAGGATGCTGAAGTTTTTAAAATAAAACGTACGTAGAACAACCCAAATAAATTACAAATATAGAAAGAAATCTTCACATAAGTTACTTTATACGCATTATGTGTTATGATTACGTACAATGTACAAAGCACTGAAAATGGTATTCAACATAAATTACGTAATGTATACGTAATCATCTTATATAATTTACTTGATCAATAATTTTTGAGCTTGTAAAGCGTTTCAATTTTACTTAATATTTGAATTAAGGTATATCATTTAAAATAACAATCCAGTTGTTTTGCGAAGTAAAAATTAAAAATTAATTTCAAAACAAATTGATAAAATGCAGGTACATAATAGAAATCTCTTTATTCCTGTATGTACACGTATGATGTGGTCTACGTATTATTACCCAATGCACAGTGTTAGTCAATCACAATATTAATTATTTACAAACCTGTGTTAGCACATGATTGCATTTTGCTCTAACACTAAAAAGTTTTGGATCATAATCCCGACAAAAAAACCCCGACAGATAAAAAAACCCCGACAGATGAAAAATCCCGATATATAGTTAAAAATTCCTTCAATTGAAAATACTGAAGATACTCTGTACTATTCACGTCATGCTGCCACATGTTCATACAACCCAAAATGTGTGATAGACAAGACTGGGTGACTTCTAAAACCGTATTCACTTATATGTTTTTTAATTATTTGGTTAAAGTTAGGATAAGGATTAGTTCCGAGTTAAGGTTTAGGCATGTTTTATAATAAAATTACCTCTGAAATTTTTTATTAATGCCCAACGATAGATTTAAACATTTGTTTCTTGTTTTTTTTTTCTCTCTCTACGATGTCGATCAAAATAAACTTTATTGGTACTATATTGCGTGAGTGGGTAAGACCCAATATTTAAGATGCACCTTCCTAAAGATTCTGATTGGGATTTTTGACTGTCGGAATTCTTAATCGTCGGGATTTTTGATTGTCAGGATTCTTTTGTCGGATTTTGTTTGTCGGAATTTTAACCCAAACCCCGACATGTTAATAATATATTTTATACATTGATAAATTGATTTATAAAGTCAAACCTCCCTAATTTCACCCTTTCTAAATGCTTAGTCCCAAGCTTGGATTTTAGTATTAGGTCTTGTGTGAGATTTTACAGCCCGAACTTATACATGCACTTTCCATTAAGTACATGATGTGATCAAATTAACGATTGCAAATATTTCAGTAGGCCATTAACATAGTGATTCAGAGTAGTGTGGAGCATACACTGCCGGAGTAGCCTCTAAATCACACCACGCTGAAGTAGACCGCCACAAAGCAATGTTGGGGATTATTAAACTGTTATTATATCGCAAGATTTTTTCAATAGAGGTTAGAGTCAATTGAAAATTCAAAAATCAAATTGGATTAAATATAATTAAAGCCATTTTACTATTTAAGTTAAAGCGTTGTATGCAGTAACATGTCAGATATCTTAAAAAACTTTATTTATTGGTCAACAAAAAGAAGATATAGAAATGATGTGTGTAACTTTATTATCACGTTAATGCAATAAAAAGTTTATAATTAAAAAAAATAAAAATAAAAAATACTTAATAAGAGCTTTTCTCGTCTTATACAGTGTTGTCACGGGACGGTTGCGGACATGAGTTTGGACATTTTGGACATTTCTGAACAAATAATAAATTAAAATTACTCGGAATTTTATTAAATTAACCTATTTTAACTTTCTAAATAAAAATATTCAGCTCTATAAAAATATATAATCATATATTTTTTAAATTAATACACTGGCAATCATAAGTAGTGCAACAAAAAAAAAAATTTACTTAGATCATACTGCCTCCCGCAATTCCGGCCATATCGGGTAGTTTTTTTTTTTTATTTTATTCACCAATACCAACGTTTTCATCAATAAAAAAAAGAAAAAAATTCAATGAACAAAATTT